AAAGAATAGATTTTCTTTCTGTGTTTCTTAATAAACACTATTTGGAGGAACATCCTAAGCCCTCTGGCCAAAGATGCTGCTCATCTGACACACGCGAGGTGCTGCATTCGGAACACCTCAGGGCTATGGTGTGAGGGGTGACTCCCATACCATGAGATGCACCAGACTTTACAACCTGTCCAGTCCCACCCCCCTCATGTTAGAGAGGAAAAGTGCAGCCCAGTCACTAATCAAAGTCCCTAGTAACGAAGGGACCTCATCTTACACCAAGGCAGATCCTACAGACCACAGCAGCTCCCAATGGGACATTCCACCTCTTGTCTGCTCTCTGACCCTACACTTGCCTCCCTCACCTCACTCTATTCCCCACCCCGCTGAATCCTGACTTCATATAAAATTTTGGTATTTTGTTCTTTGTGGAGTTTTTTGGCATTCATTTTCAATGTTAAAAATATTATTTATCTTGAGGACTAAGCTTTTTGACATCTCCCTTAAATTCTGCGCCTGAGGCAAGTGCCTTACCAGCCTCACCCTAGTCCAGGTCCTGGACAGAAACCAGCAACTAGCTCAACTGTCAGAAGGGGTCGGGGAAATGCCAGTTAAGTAGTGAGGAATCCGCCCTGCTTGCCGATAAAAACAAAGGCTAATCTTGCACCTCGGAATCTGGGCTCTCAAAACACAAGGAGCTTTATCTCTTGTAACTTTGGCTTGTGAAGAACAGGCCTGGCTGATCAAAATGAAGTCAGGGACCACTCCAATCCTGATGACAGCTACCCTCTTTGTAGTACAGGGTTATTAACACCTGGTGGAGCTTAACTCTAAGTGCCTATACTCCAGTTGGTTATTTCCCATCCTGAGACATCGACTTTGAAAAAAACATCTCAAAGTCAGAAACTGCAGACAGAAAACACACACGGTTGAAAAACAGGAAGAAAGGTAAAACTTGCAGACAAATAGTGAAAGAGTCACATCTAAGCAATCAACCCACAAATGAATCCCTAACAGTTCTACCTAAACACTACTAAGGAACAATTTAGTTTTTTAAGAGAGACTTTAAGAGAAAGCATACATCAAAATTGTGAACGCAGTTTCACTCTAAAATTTACATGGTCTGAGAGACACTGTGTTCGCTGAAACAGTGCATGGAACTTGGGAAGGTGGAACTCTCATCTGCTTTTTTCTCTTTCTCCTCTCCTCCTCTATCCCACAACCAGGACTGCAGACTGTCTTTCCTGCCAGAGCTAGTCCTTTCATTTATTTTTAAATTCTTCAGAACAGAGGCGCAGAGGGATAAAGCGACTGATCAAACCCACTGCATCTCTGGGTCTCAACCAGGAATCCTGACAACATGTTTTAAATTGTCTTATGTTCTTAGATCTATTTTAACCTGCAGGAGTGTTGCTCGGTTGTTTACAACTTTCTACCTACCCATGGCTGTGGCCCCTACAGACCACTCAGTTCTGCTGATTTTCCTAACTTCTAGAACGTGCACCTAGCCCTGACATGTCTTGTAAATCGTGAAGTTGGTCAGCACAGACGGAAAAAAAGAACAGGAGAGACAGGGAGCTCGGCAGACTCGGGTCACTACACAGAAGCCCAAGGGTGATTCCACTACTGGCCTCACCATCCGATGGCAGCAAGGTGGGTACAGGGAAGAAACAATGAATTGGGGACCAGGTGACCCAAACTCAAGCTTCAAGAGATGCTCAGCTTGGTAAGTCCCAGACTCTGTGACACATGCCCACAGCTGTAGGCAGACAAAACACCTCCCCAGTCTACTTCAGAGGATGAGGCAAATCACTTTTGAAAACTGTTAAGTGCTGTACAAATTCAAGCCACTAATGACAACTTATGGCATGGCTTCATCAGCATGTTGAAAAGACACACAAGTGGAATGAATAAGGCTTAGGTATGTATTTACAGTGCATCTTGTTCCCAAAAATATCAAATGAGGTCAAACCTTGCCACATGACGAAAAAAAAATTTCAAGATCACACTGCCAAACATGCTAGGCACAGACCTCAAACCAGATTCACATTAACCTGCTATTTTTACTGCATCCTAACACTTCAGTGGTATCAGAATTGCCTCCATTTTTCACGAGAAATCTCCACCTCTCTTCCATAGAGACATCTAGAATTTAAGATCTACCCAGAGAGATGGACAGGCAGAGATCTATAAAAGGCTCAAAGGGGAAAGAAAAAAAAAAGTGTGTTAATGCTAGAATAAAAGATGTAAGTATCCATGACATTCCTGTTCCGCGGACTTTTCGGTAACCAGCCACAACTGGGAGCAGAGCAAGTCAGAGGAAGGCTTATCAGGAAGTGTTGACACAACATAAACACGGACTGCAGGCACCACACCAAGTAAGGAAACCACAATTATACCATTCTCGATTTGGATGTACTTCCACTTTAAGACTTCCAGACGGAAAAGTCAGCGGTGAGATATGACAAGAAAGCTCTCAAACTCACTCCACCGACAAAGCCGCTGAAAGGTGGAAGGGAGAGCGGTCGTCACACTGGAGACAAACCTTAACAACATTAAAGCTCTCTCCGCAGAAAGTTTCCCCATCACGGCATTTTTTCAGTAACAAAGATGTTGTCAGAAATGACAATTTTTTGTGTCCCCTGATGATGCCTTGCTAGCATTTGGTTATACGCCATAAAGCAGGACTAATTTCAGCCTGTCAGGAGTCTTGCTAATGCCCAGGTTCCCCCTAGAGAGAATTCCTGTCAAATCTAATGAGAGCTCCAAAGGCCCTCTCTACAATATAATGAGCACTTAGGCCATGCTGGTGATCAGGCGGCAAAAAGCATCAATTTGAGCCTGGCTACACCCTGGGGGCCAGACGTCACCAGTTTTAATAAGAATTATGATTACTTGCTGAACCAAAAGCCTCCTCAGAACTTATTATTAATGTGTGACATTCAGAAGGATGTTTTTCAAATGTAAGGCCACTTTAAACTGAATTATAGCACTGCTTTCCACACCACTCTAGTTAAGGGTCTGTCAGCATTTACAATATAAACTAAATTTCAGGGGGCTTAATACGCTCCTATGAAAAACATGGCATCTCCCAGCTTTTTGCATTTTTTAAATTACTGAGCCAATTATACACAGCATATTATTAATGCATACTGCCTCATGGCCAGACAACATATACCCACAAACACCCGATGGAGTACAGAAACTCATCTGAAAACTATTTTCACACCGTGGGGGTTCCTGACCATTTTTGCCCTTTCTTCCTAAACAATAAAGAAGAGGTCACTCTGCCATGTAACCTACAGGAACCCAGAAGAATTACACACCTCCTTAGGCCCCCCAGTAAATCCAGCACCAGCATCCAACATCACACAGAGGTGGAGTTCCCTTGTAAAAAAAAGAGTCGGTGAGGTTAGCAAATCCTTTGAGTTTACGAGTTTAAGAAAAAGCTCAGTCTTCTCTTACTCTTCCAGAATACTTGTTAGCAAAAAGTATGTGCCTTTAGGGTTAACTTAAAAAAAAAAAGTGGCAGGTTAGAACTCCTTGAAAAGTTTATTTGCATAATTCATTCACATGACCATAGATCTTCTGGCCCAATTACTATCAACAAGTTACAACTGCCTCAATCAGGCACTAGCCATTTAAACACACAAAAACAAAGGCACAAACTCAACATAAACTAGGCTACCAGCTTTGCAGATCTGAATAAAATCAGTATTTTTAAAGGCCCGATTATATTATTAATGAAAGGCCTTGAACTTCACTCTCTCTTTCCAAACACAAATCTGAGGACAGATCTAATGTACACGATGATAACTTAACATTATGAAATCTATGATGAATTAAAAATCAAAGAGTGCAGAGTTACAAAAGCAGAATTCAACTCTGAAACACACTTGCTTAATGAAAGTCTTTGAATATAAGGAAGATCTGAAGGCTGAACTAATCAATTTCTCCACTGTGCCCCAGCCGGTCAGCCATGCTCTTTAATTTAATGAAACAAGAGTTTGAGATGAAATAGCACATATACATCAAGTAAGAATTGTATTGTTGCACTTTGAAATGTGTCCAACTGTGCAACCTCATCTGATGATAATTTTTTAAGAGGCAATCGATTTCTAAAAGACTTATTGTACCAGCGTCTTGATGAAAAAGTGAATGTCAGCATATCTCCAGCATACTTACACCCTGCCATTAATGCTTTCTTTGGCAGACAATGACTACTCAATTGAGGGTCCTTTGGGCTGAGCAATCATTTAGCTTTTCTTCTCTTATGAGGTCCTTAGTGCCTTGTTCCAGCTCAATACTCTTTTTATACACCATTATAGTAGCCATAAGTGTGAATTTTATGGGAACTTGCAAACTCATAGTCATAGCTAGAGGTTTCCAGTCACTAATCTTTTCATGCTTTTAAAACCACTAGGACTGAAGCAACTCCTGACATATGCTGTGGCCATAAAAGAATGCTTTTTTCACCTCCAAACCTGCATCAACTGAGAAATTTTTTTAAAACGTGTTTGCTAATAGGCCACTAATCCTGAGTGTCATTTTATGCAGCCCCAAAGCATAAAGAAAACTCTGTAGTTATATACCTTGTTTAACCTGATTTAAAGACACACCCAAATACCTTTCTTTCCCCTACAGGTCCCCACTTCTTTTCAAACCAGAACAAAACATTAGCTCTTCAGAACTTCAGCAACTCTACAGGACACCCAGATCTTTCAAGAGGAGAATAAACCCATCCAGGTGGAAAAGTAAACTCAGAGTCTCAATTCCTATCTGCCTGTAAACAGGCTGGTTTACATTTCCAAAGCACCTCTCACCTAGTCACTGAAACATTCTGTAATTGTCAAGAAGCGACTTTTGCTGCAGAACACTACCACCAACACAGAGAAAGAGAAACCGAGGCAGGAAAATGGCATACGTTCCCCCCACTACTGAGGACAAAGCCAGTATTACACAATTTTAATGACTGATTTCTCATTTTAGCTTAAGATTTAACTAAAGCTTACCTGTTTATGCATTTCTATGTTTAATCCATATGACATTTCATAATACTGTAAAAAGAAGAGAATCAGGCATTTCATTAGCTCACATTTTGTAATGCTAACAACACATATTTGCTAATGTTACATGAAAAGGGAAAAAGTCTAATCTTTGATACCTACCATCACATAGTGCCTCTGCATTTCTGTCTTTTCACTTGCCAGTTTCTCACATTCCAATTTAAGGCTACGAAAACAAAACAGGCAACTTAATGTAAACATTATGTCACTTGTTTTAACATCTGCCTCACATATTTGCACTTCAAGTAAAAACACAGACCAATTTGGAAAAGTCATAAACTATCGAGGTAAACACCCAAAAGCTTTGTCCTTGGATTTAAGAGGAAAAAGGAATAAGGTGGACACTACTGGGTATCCATTCAGCTCCTGTTCTCTTTCTTCTTGGTGCACACCTGGTCAGATGCCAAGAATGAGAAATGTGTCAAACCCTCTGATGTCCCCAGAAGACTGATTCCTCCTCCTGGTGATCTGCTCACTCCTACTTCCCTGCACAGAAGTTCACTTCTCTGGACTCCACCAAAATCTGGCCTTTGCACAATCTGCAGTCGCAGACATACGCTATTCTATCTTTGCCAACTCAAGTCTGTGGGTTTGAAAATTATACCTGTAAAGTTACTTCCACAGTTCTTGGTCCCTCTTAGGACATTTTAAATTGTTGGTTTTTAAATTCCTGCCAAAACATGGCAAGTAGCTACTGCAATTAAGTGGGCTGAAGTCCTCCCTGCCTGGTAAATGGGGTGTGGGCAGGTATGCCTCAAGCTTAGAGCGTATCATCCTCAAGTAGACAAAAAGTCAACAATCAGAAAGCCTCTGCCAAAATAAGAACATTCACACTCAAATATCCGTGCTTTTTCTCAAGCATGACAAAAATAAAAACCGTCATTACACAGTTATTTCTTAGCTCTAATCAGCTAAGATTTCAAAAGAGCAAAGGAAAAAACTAACGTTTCTGGAAAGTCCACTGCAGTGGGTACTTTTCACATAGTTTTCATTTATAAATCTTTTTAAGTAGGTGTCATTAGATGAAAAAACTAAAGCTGAGATGAATGTAAATGTGACTTAAGTCTCTTGTTCTACCCAAACCAATCCAGAATGACGCCAAAGCAGGTAGCTTTCCCCTACACACTATCCACTCCCCTCATCACCACCAATGAAGGGCACCGCTAAAAGCATGGAGCCTTCCATAATGGACTTTGCCTCAGACAACCCAATTCTCTAGTATGGCAAACAGCGATTTCAACACTGGCTTTGCCTCCCTGAACCCGCACTCCAGGGCTGGGGCATCGATTGAACCAAGGTTTCAGCTCAGCCTGTTGCAAAATAAATAAATGAAGTGCAAATATTGACGGTTCTCATGCAACTCCAAATACACGAAAATAGACTCCCTGGGACAGCAGCAAACGCGCAAAAGGAAACAATGGGAGAAGGAGGAGACAAGAGAAGAGGCGGCCCGGGAAGAGCCAGGAGAGGGGGTAACGTGAATGACAGGTCTTAACTGCGACTCCACACGCCACCGCCTGGACGCAAGCACTAAGTACAGCCGCCGCCGCCGCCACCAGGCTGGGCGAAGAGGGCCACGAGGCTGCCCGGGCGACCACTGGCCCGGCGCGGCCGGACACGCACCTGTGATACTGCGCCTGCAGGAACTGGAATTCCTCTTTAATCCGGTCCAGGGACTCCGGGATAGTAAACTTGAAGGGCTGGCCTGCAGCCTGGTGCGGCGTCTGGGGGTGACCGGCGAGGGGCACAAGGGACGGGGATGCGGGCGGATGGATAAAGCAATAAGTCCGAGGACGCAAGAGTGGGTGGGACAAACAAAAAATAAAGTTAGAAATGGAGGAAAACGCAGCCCGGAACTCGAGTTTGCGCTTCACTTTGGGGAGAGGTAAACTGGATCCTGCCCCGACCCCTAAAGGGGCTTGGAGCCTCTTCTGGCATCCTGGGCAGGTCGCGGTAAGTGCGCCCCGGTCACCTGGCTGGAGGTAAAAGGGCTCCCGGGCAGCCCGGGAGGACCAGGTCAGACTATCATCGCTGTCGCCGCTCCCTCCCCCCATGGGGGCGATAATGACCCCGGAGACCGGAGGAGAAAAACAACTCCCTTACGATCCCCGTTCCCAGAGTCGCCGGGGCCACCTCCAGGCGCGCCGGAACGGGGGCCGCATTGACATGCAAATCGGCGAGACGAAAGGCAAAGGGGGGGGGTGCCCTACCCGCCTCGAGGAAGGGGGAGAATGTGGCTGCGGGAGAGAAACCCCAGCCTCCCCGGGCGCGCCCGCCCGCCCTGTCTAGACGTCAAGTAGGAGGGAGCCCGGAGGAAAGGATGGAAATTGAGTTTCAGCCCACTCCCCACCCCACGAGGAGAGGGCCCGGGGCCTCCCCACCCTTGCACCCCTGGGGGCAAGAGGGTCCTCCAGAATGTAGTAGCCACCCGTCCCCCTACGTCAAAGGGAGCGTGCCCCCCCCACATCACTACCCTGCCCCCATCAGCCACCGGGCCGCGCCTCACCGGGTGCCGGCTCTGCGGGAACATCGCTCTGGCGGCGGCCGCGGCTCTGTTCCCGGGCAACTCAATTCTCCGCTCAATTTCCAACTTTAATCCCGCCGAGGAAAATTAAGCCGAGAAGCCAGGCAGAAACGGGGAGCGCGGGGGGCGCGCTGGCCACGCACGCAGGCGCGCTCGGCGGGGCGCACCGGCCACTCGGCGCCCGGCTGCCGCTGCTCCCGCCGCTGCGGGCTCCCGCGCTCAGGGCCACATCGCGGGGCAGCCCGGGCCCGGCTGCACCAAGGACCGGCGCGGCGACGCCGGCGCCCAGGAAGACGGCGCGGGGGCTGCGCTCCAAACCGCGGGCCTCGGCCGCCCGGGCGGGGAGGTGGGGTGAGGTGACTCCGGCCGCTCTCCCCTCGGAGATCCGCGCGCGCGGCACCGTCCCGGGCAAACAGATCCAGGCGGGCCGCCTTCCTCCGCTCTGCTCCGGTCCGCCTCCTCTCCGAGTTTTTCCCGCGGCGCCGGCGGCGGGCGAGGTGCAGGTGGCGCGAGGCCCCCGGCTAACCCCACACAAACAAACCTGAGGCCGTTCGAGGCCGACCCCCGCGGGGCCGGGCAGCGCCTTTGGCAGGGCGCTCGTGGGCCCCCGGGAGGCGGCGGGGAGCGGGGGCCGGGCCGCGGTGGAGGCTCCGCGCCCGGCGCTCCGCAGCCTCAGCCCGAGCCGAGGAGCGCGGGATGACGCCGAGGCGGGGAAAGTGCGGAGGGCGCGCCGGGAGGCGGCTCGGCACGCCCCGCGCCGCCGGCACTCGCTGTTCTCCGCGCTCGCACAAACCCGCCCGGCCCGACGGGGCTAATCGGCGGAGGGCAGTCCCGCAGCCGCCCGCTGCTCCGCCAGCCAGGGGCGCATCAGGGCGCCGCGCCCGCGCGCACTCGCCCCGCACGACCGGCCCGGCCCCTTTCTGCGAGCCCCTTCCTCGGTCCTTTCTTTCCTCCCCTTCGTCTGCCTCTCCGCGAAGGGCGCTCCAGCCCGCTGCAAAGTTCTCTCACGACCCGGGGGACGACATCCACGAGACGGTGGGGAGAGGAGCAGGAGTGCGCTCCGCCGCTCGGCCTCCCTCCCCGGCGGGCAAACTCGGCGGGCGAGTCCAGAGTAGTCGCGGCGGCGGCAACCGGGGGGGGTTAAGTCGCCGCGGGCCGACAGAGGTCCCGGCTGGTGGCGCGGGTCCCGCCCGGCCGTGAGAGGGTGGGGGTGGCGCAATCGGCTGCCTCGGGGACGCGGAGCACAGGGTATCCGCCGCCGCTGCTGCGCCTGCAGCCGCCGCTCCCGCCGCCGCCGCCCGCGCCTCTCGCGCCGGTTACATTAACACGCGGTTTCACACTCCAGAGCTAACCAGCGCGGGCCCCGCCCAGCCCGGCGCGGGCGGGGGCGCGAGCGGAGCCGGCAGGGGACGTGAGCCAGCCGCTGGGAGGGGGCCAGGGGCGGCCCGCGTCAGCCAATCGAGGGCGCCGCGCCCAACGTGGGGTGGTGACGTAACGCATCCCTGGAGCCTATGGCAGCGCAGCACCGGACGGGCCGTTCTCCCTCCCACCGCCTCTCGCGCCCCACTCGCTTCCATCTCCGCCGTCTCCCTCGTCTCCCCTCCCACCCCACCCCCACCCCTCCTCCGCAAGCCGCGTCCTCCCGGGCTCGGTGAGGAACTGTTCCTGGAGGAGCCGCGGGACGCCGAAACCAGCCAATGGGAAGCGGCGAGGCGCGGAGATTGGCACCGTGGATGGGAAGGTCGGTGGGAAGGAGAGCGGCGGGGCCGGGCTGTCAATCAAAGTAACGTGGGCTGGCGAGGGAGCGCGCGGGTGCGCGCGAGCGGGAGGGATCGGCGAGCGTGGAGCCGCGGCAGCTGGGGGCTCGAGTTTGCAAAAATCCTGCTACTCGTTCACTTTTCCCTTTAGTGAAAATCCTCAGATCTCAGTGAAAGTAACGCATAGACTAACCGAGGAGTTTCTTGAGGGGGAAGCTTTTTGGTAGTTCAAGCCAAACGCGTCTTTTGGTGCTGGCCCCTTGTTTGATGCTACTATTCTGAAAGTGAGGTCACATTCTAAAATTTCTCAGAGGTTTGTTTTTCCTTGAGCTACCTTTTCGCGTATGCACAAGAAGGAGTGGACTGTGCACTTGGTGGAAAATGCATAAAGGGGCAGCGCATTGACTGGTGTACGTATACCAGTCGCGTCAGACTAGGCTTTTAAGGCTCTCACCCGCTTTGCACCCAAGGAAATAGGATTGGGGTTTTATTGGAGGATTTCAAACCACTTTGCAAAAAAGTCGGCCCGCCTTCGTTTGGCGGGAAGGATACCCAAAGTGCTGCCAGGGTCAGGCACGCGTGTCCCAATAGCAGATGCGATGCTTCGCCCGTGGCGCGAAATTTCAGGTTCTTGTCTTAAAAGTCCGGATTTCGCTGTATTAGGGGGTAGGGGGCAACTGAGAGTCTTAGGGGCCTCTCAGCAACATGACCAAGAGTCTGTTTCCAGTTCCTGGAAACAAAGGGAGACAATGGGATAAACCATTATCAAGACCTGAAAAACCTGTCCTGCCCACCCCACCCCCATAGCTGGGGTGGTACCCCAGGCTGAGCTGCGTAAAGAGCTAAATGGGAAGCGATGGGTGAATGACATGGCTAACATTCTTAGGAGGCAGACCTTGACTTAAAAGGGATTTTGAGATTTTAAACAAACAGGGCATACTGTGTAAGTCTCCAGTTTTTGCGTGTTTCTTTAAATACACTACACAGCAGAAAAACTTTAATATTGCCGCACTTATACTTTTGTTTAAAGAACAGTTCAGTTGAGCTATTTCCACATGATTGGTGAGTGAATAATGCTATTTTAGCCAAATGGTGGTGAATTCTTCCATGAGAGGACACATCTTTGACAAGCTTTCATCTTGTGTTGGAACCTACTTAAGATTTTGGTATTAACCTCCGCTTATCCCGTTATTTTGCTTTCAAGAGACTAACGGAAAGGCACTTATTTAAATAGAAATACATTCTATTCGAAGATTTGTTTTTACAGAGATCTTTTTCTTGAAATATTAAAATAATCATTTTAGATCATATATTTTACTGTTGGAGTCATTTTTAAATATGTATGATATTGATTTGTCTATAATTGCATCAATCCCAAATATCAATTTATAAATGAAAAGTTAAAGGGGCAATTTTAGCCAGTCTGTATAAGGCCGTAGTAAATTCTTAAACAAGTTTGGTGTTGTGGCTTTGCACTGTGCTCATTAAGTGGGGTTGGGGAAGGGGTTTTGTTACTCCTTTTGCTGACATGGAGAATGAAAAGGAACGAGGCACTGCCCCTCTGTCCTTGGTTAAATCTGTTCGTGACAAGAGCAGGCTTGCTCCTCCACATACAGGACTTTTTTGAAATCCGTGTGATCCATGGGCAGCTCAGCTTTGTCCTTTGGTGGGCTTTGTTCCTTGAAATCTTCATCTAGTGGTTGGGCCTCGTATGCCAGTCCGTGGTCATTTCATCCCATAATCAGCTCCAGGACTGTGTAGAAAGTGCTTGCATGCCACAAATAATGCCTGTGTGTGCCAGGACGGCTAGGGCAACTGAGACTTCTCCCTGGATTACCCAGGCTTTGCTTTGATTTACGGGCACACACTGGTAATTAGGTTTAAACGGAGAAATTAAACTGGTGTATTCTGAGACAGGAGCAAAAGTATTGCTGCTTCCCTTCTTCTCTTCCCTCCTCGTCCTCTTCAAAATCAGTTCTAATACATTGTCTTTAAAAATTGTCTAACCCAGCTTTTCACAGCTAACATGTCTGCTCACTGTATTTCCCAATTTGCCATGGATAAAAATTGGAAATCCTCTTTTAACTAGTGCTTTCTTACCAGTAGAGTTTGAAACACCAGGCCTTCCGATTTCCGTATAGCGAAGTATCTGGAGAAAAGAAAGAGTAATGACTTTAAAATTGGAAGCCCTTTAATTGTGTGTATAAAGACAAGTTGGTTTTCGACGGCTCCTTTCTCGTGCAGTGCATCCTCCTTGAGACAGGGAGAAGGCTGGGCCCCTTTTCAAGGTCATATTTTCTCTGTGATTGTCATGCTGTAATAATTATACTACAAAACTCTCATCAAACTGCATTACAAATGATGGTGTTTAAACAATCAAGTAGCTTTAATCTTATGTTTTAAATAAATAATATATGTGCAGATTGCCTACAGCCTGTTTAAAAGAAAATAGTCCTACTCATGAAATCTATAATTTTGGTCTTCTATTTAAAGTCTGTTAACCATAATCTTCTTTACCTTTAACATATTCATATGTTGATGATGTTTTTACATGAAATAATATTAAGTACTCTGCTTCCATAGGAAATTGTCTCTGAAAAAAAGTTCCCTTTTTATCTTCTGCAAAAGAGACGAAAAAGATTGCCAGATTGTTTATTTTATCATTGATGCGTATGTGGGTATATTTCCATTCCTTTGTTGCTGACTATCAGATTTTCAATCAGCAGTAGCAAAAGTAATTACAAAAACTAGATCTTAAGTAATATAGGTACAAGACACAATAGGAAAAATTATGGATGTTGGTCATGGAAGTTATGCATCTTCTTTCAAATCTGTTACTTTTTATTTGAAATAATAAGGTTAATTTTTAGAAGATCACTTTTGTCATTTTCTTTTCCTTTTAGCTGTGAGATCTTGCTTATACATTTCCTCACTTGACTTTTTTTTTTTTTAACCTGGGAGTTTTCTTCAACCTAAGAATGTAGACTCCAGGAGAAATTTTCCTAGCATTGCTTTATAACCTTTTTTCTCCATCCCTTTACCAAAGAAAAGGGCAGGATGGGTGTAGGGGGTGGGAGGGAGAAAGCAGAAAAGGAAAAAAAAGTCAGTAGCAGATCCATGCAGCAGTAAAACCTCAAATAAAATCACATCCAAAGAATCTCTTGCGGTTTCACACAACATGGTAAAATTAGAGATTGCAGAAAACCAACTAAATTAAACTGGGAGCATTTGAAGAGAAACGAGCAGACTTTATGAAAATGACACATTGACTGACCAGTATGCTTTTTTATCAACAATTTCTTTGTTAAGATGCAGATCAAAGGAACCTGCATATGTTTTCATTTTGTTCTAACTAGAAAATTAC